TTATGCTATCCAAGAGTGCTGGACTTTTTATTTTTCAACAAGACAGCCAAGACTCTGGGGCAGGTGTAGGGGTGTGGTGATTGTCATCTGGGAATCCTTACGACTTTCAGGAGCACTGCCCCACAGGTCCCTAGATGTGAGACTCTGTTCCTTAAGTTGGGCTCTAGGGATCAGTTGGGATTGTTGCTGTGGTACTAGCCTCCCTGCTGCATAGCAGCCTCCCTCCCTGAGCTCCTTGACTCCATCTCGGGGTTGGCAGTGGAGTTCCCCAGACTTATGGTTCTGGGGGACTTCATTCTGCACTCTCTCAGAGTGGGGTCTGAGGTGGCTACCATGGTGGCCATGGGCCTATCCTAGGTCATCCAGAGCCTGACATGGGACAGTGGTCACACTCCAGATTTGGTATTCCTGTTAGAGCAGTGGCTATGTGATCTGAAATTGAGGGAGCTTTTGGGGTCTCCCTTGTCATGGTCAGTTCATGGCCTGATTTTCATGGGATTCTCTAGCACCACTACCCACTGCAGGGAGGACCCATTAGATTGGTCCACTGCTAGTGACTGATGGACCCAGATGGGTTTCAGAGGGAGCTAAGTGTTCTTCCTGCTGGTCTGCTGCATGGTCTATCCAAAGCCTTGGCTGCCGCTTGGAATAAGGGGGCAGCTGAGGCCTTGGATCAGATTGCGCCCATGCTACCTCTCCCCTCCCAGGGATTCTGACACTCCCCATGGTTTATGGAGGAGTTGAGGGAGATGAAACAAGAAGAGACATCTAGAGCATCACTGGCACTCAACCAAGGACAAACTGAACTGAACACAGGTTAGAGCCACTATTAAGGCCTACGTTGTGGCAATTAGGGCGGTGAAGCGACAGTGCTTCTCTGCCCTTATTGCATCCACAGATTTGCTGCCCTGCAGCCCTGTTTTGGGTGACACGAGCCCTCTTGTATAAAGGGGGCCCAGAGCACCATTTGTGGGGATGTGCAGGGAATTTGCTCAGCATTTGTCGAATAAAATTGCTCAGATTCACTCACAGTTGGATGCCAGTTTTGTTGCAGGTCCAGAGGAGATGCCTGGGGTGGAGTCTTGCCCAATTATCTGGGAACAGTTTGAACCTGTTTGGACCCAAGGAAGTGGACAGGGTCGTTCGAACTGTGAGCTCAGCCACCTGCTCCCTAGATCCATACCCCTCCTGGCTTGTGAAAGCAGCCCAGGGAGTGTTGTGTGAGTGGGCTCTAGTGGTGGTTAATTCTTCTTTGAGGGAAGGGGTTGTTCCTTTGCCTCTTAAAGAGGCTTTAATGCACCCCCTCCTCAAGAAGCCATCGCTGGATCCCACCTTACTGGACAACTTTCATCCAGTATCTAACCTCCCTTTTTGGGATAAGGTTGTTGAGAAAGTGGTTGCACAACAGCTTTAGAGGGCCTTGGATGAAGCAGATTATCTAGATCCTTTTCAGTCAGGATTCAGACCTGGGTATGACACAGAAACAGCATTGATTGCACTTCCGGATGATCTCTGGAGTGAGTGGGATGGAGGTTGTACATCCATCCTTGCCCTACTTGACTTCTCGACAGCTTTCAATACGATTGACCATGATATCCTTTTGGATTGGTTCAGGGGACTGGGGGTGGGCGGCACAGTGCTGTGTTGGTTTGCCTCCTTTCTCCAGGGTCAATTCCAGTCGGTGATGATTGGGGAGGATAGGTCCCAGCCTTGGCCCCTACTATGTGGGGTGCCACAGGATTCAGTGCCCTCCCCTCTCCTATTTAATATCTATATGAGACTGCTGGGTGAGCTCATCCATTGCCATGGGGTGAGGTATCATCAGTATGCTGATGATACCCAGCTATACATCTCTGCCCCAGTGAATTAAGTGATGCTGTGAATGCCTGATCCTGGTGCCTGGAGGCTGAGGGTCTGGATGGAGAACAACAGGCTTCAACTGAACCCTGGCAAGACTGAGTGGCTTTGAGTTCAAGGTCTTGCCAGTTCTGGGACTATATCATCTTTGGTGATGGATGGGGTAGCATTGCCCTAGATAGACCGATTGTGCAATTTGTGGGTCCTCCTAGAGTCACAGCTCCTGTTTGAAGAGCAGGTGGTAGTCATGGTTAGGAGGGCCTTCAAACAGCTTCAAGTTGTGTGCCAATTTCACCCCTTCCTGGATTGGGAGGCTCTGCTCACAGTCACTCATGCCCTAGTCTCTTCCAGATTGGACTACTGTAATGTACTCTATGTGGGTCTGCCCTTGAAGAGTATCCAGAAGCTTCAACTGGTGCAGAATGTGGTAGTGCGGGCAGTTATGTGTGCTCCTAGAAGAGCACATATTGTCGGGCCTAGCCCAAGGAACTCCAAGAGACCATGCAGAATCAATCCAGCAAGGTTTATTAGCTAC